CCTCAAGGAGCTGCTTCGGTACGTGTGATGGGCTCAGCATCCCCCAAAGACACCCAGACCTTCGGGCAGCACCGCCTGCACCGCAGCTGGCACCCAGCAAGATGGGACAGAGGAGGGTGAAGAGGGAGCTGAAAGGTTTTAGCCCCAACGATCGGAGCATCCCTGGAGCAAAGGGTCAGCTGTCCCCAGCGACAAGGAGGAAGGAAGGTTTTCACCCAGGAGGCCCCAGCCCCGAGGACAACCTGCCCTCCTGCCTCCCGCACAGCCCCCGTTCATCTGGCCAACTGGGAGCCCAGTGACCCCCACTGGTGCCCTCCAGCCCCCGTGGGTACAGAAGGGCTGTACCAGGACCCCCCATCCCCTGGGGTCTCCATGCTTATCCTGTCTCCTGCAGCCATGAGGAGCCCAGCTGTGCACCCTGCTCAGCACCCGGGGGGCTGGGGGATGCTTGTGGGAAACACGACATCTCCAGGATGCAGGAATTATCCTCTCCCAGACTCTGTGGTCTCTGCGGGCAGCCTGGGTGCCCTGCCCAGAGAGGTGGGTGCCCTGTGCCCCTCCGGATGATTACAAGTGGTGAGGACAGGCACCTCTGTCACCAACACTATTGCACACCACCTCCGTGACCCATTTCAGCACCTCTCCGGCACGCAGCACAGCACCCACCACAGCTCACCCTTCAAAACAAGGAGCCCAAACACCCATGAACGCCACCTCAAAATCCCCCGTAAATGGGATCAGCAAGGTTACGCTTCATCTTCCAGCTCCTCCGCTCCTTCCCCTGAGCCCCTCCTGCCAGGGAGGGTTTGGGAAGGGCAGACCTGCCCACAGCCGCTCGATCACATCGGTACCTGGGAGGGTTCCAGCTATTTTCACGCCAGGTGAAGCAGGTCCTCAGGGTTTTGGTTTTAAAACCAGAGCAGCGCTAGGAGGAAAAACAACCGCATGTCATTTCTGGGGTCAGAGCTGAAGACCAGGAATTTGTGGGGCTTTAGCACGAGCCGCCCCTCAGCTAACACCCAATACAGACAGGCTGGCCGGGGAGGGCAGAAAGGCAAAGGGAATGGTGGCAAATCCATCCCAGGCTCTGCAAGGACAGGCAGGCAGCCAGGCTTGCGCTCCGGGGATTTGCAGAGTACCCGTCCAGATTGGTTTGCAAAAACAAGGCACTTTTACGCTGAGGGCGGTTTTGGAAAGTACACGGGATTCTTGCAACTGAGAGATGAAGCCCAGGAGAGAAGAAAGAAAAGACAAACATACATTGTTCCAAGAAGCACGTCCAAGAACCTGTCACAGCCACACGAGGCACAAGAACATGAAAATCGCAGGCGTACGTCACCGATTTACTGTCAAACAGCAGCTCCCACGGAGCAAAGGTCGGCCCTGGGAGCACGTGGTTCTGCTTTTCTCGGCACCAGACGCAGATTCTCAGAAGACCTTCCAAAGCACACCGGTGACAGACCAGGCAACAAGGAGCAGAACAAGCCTTTGCTACTCCCTCACCCCTGAGGGAGCCTGTGTACTAGTCCTAATTTATTTTCTCCACCCCTGCTAATCCTAACCACCCAGAGCAGGAGTCCCCACCAGCGAGAACAGAATTAGATTTTTCTCAAGGGTGATAATCCATTTAAATACAGCACTTCTTAGGAGATTCGGCACTTTTCCCAGCGAGCAGCCCCGCTCTCTGCACAGCCCCCCCTCCCATGTGCCAGGGCGGAGGGGGGACCAAGATGGGTCCCATCCCTTGAGGGCACCAAGCTGTAAGAGTAGAGGGGCTTGGTGAAACAGCAGCTTCCTCCAGATCTTGCTTAAGAGCTGCTTTAGTCCAAAATAGCATGAAGTTACCTGTGGACTTGCTCCCAGGGAACCTGAGACAGCTCTACCCCAACTTGAAAGCCCGTATCAGTTAAACAGGGTTGGCTTGAAATGTGATCGAACCAGACCCCGGAGCACACTGCTCCCCTATGTTTGAGGGCACAGACACGTGCTGCTGTCACCAGGGGACACGCACAAGCCCACCTCTACTTCCCTCCGTCCCTTCTGGCTGCAAGGGGACAGCCCTCTCAAAGTGCCATCACAAAACCCATCACCAGAGAAAGGATGGACTCACCTCACCGAGCCACGCTGCATCTGCTTTACTTGCTGGAGGAGCTCCAATAGCTCCAGAACCCCCGGGACGCTGGTCCTACAGGAATCACTGGTGGGGCAGATGTTGAAGGCAGCTTGGGAGCAGCTGACAATGTCCCACTTGAGCTGCAGGCCACTGCCACGCCAGATCCCAGCGTGCCTCCCCCTTCGGTAAACCAAGAAGTTACACAAACACGAGTTCCCTGTTACTCAGCTCCCAAAAGTAATTTCAGATCAGAAACAGTCCAAAAAGCCAATTTTAGAAAGTACCAGTTTATTTGGGGGGGGGATAAAATAAAAAAAAATCAGTAACAGTGGAAAATCCCCAAGAGCAATTACACAAGAGAATCTAAATATCCTGAGAAGCAGACACCACTCCTGCCTTCCTGGCAGTGCTGTCCATAGGCAGTGAAGTCCTCCCTCTCCTTCCCCACCTACAGCGATCTCTGTGCACTTTGTAGAGTCTCCCAGAGCCTGCAGTTTCCCCGAACATCCTTGTCCTGGGACCGAGTGAGTCAACCCAGAGGAGGAGCTTTGGGAAAAGTCCTCTCGCACTGATGTCTCAACACATGGCTCCTCCACGTTCCCCGCTTCGCCTGCCTAGCTCTGAGAAGCAGCTGCCACCGGCTGAAGCCTTCTTTGTTCTATTGCTTTTATGAATTTGGCCTCAAGCCTACAACAAAGCCTCAGTAAGGAGTCTTTGGGAGTCAATAAGATTTCTGAACAGCCTTCGCAACCCTCCGGTTTGCGCTGCCTTATTCAGTTATTCACTCTGGGGATCCCCACTCAGATTTTGTCTTAACCCGCAGCAGATTCAAAGAGCTGCAGGAGGACACAACTTGTACAAAGTAGTTCTGGAACACCTGCCTGAAACAGAGGCATCGGACACGCAAGTTACCCTTTGCTCTAGGAGCACTGGGGGAATTGGTCCAACTCTCAGTAGAGACAGGAGTTATGTGCAGGATATACCCCACCGCAGGAGGGTCAGAGCTAGCTGTCTATGAAAGCTCTGTGCTCCCAGCTGGGAGATGCAGCGAAGGCAGACTTGTACCTACGACAGCCAGCCTTCTGCAAGAGGCAGGAATTCGGCACAGCGCCGCGGGGGACTCTGCAGCCCAAAACAAAAAGTTATTTTCTCCATAATGCGAGCTTCCAATGCTTCCTTCAAAGAGCAACCCCAGATGGGGATCTCTGCTCCAACTCCGATGATCAAACCCAGCACATCACCAACTGCAGCCTGCTTCCAGGCACGGCCCGGGACACGGTGACGGAGCCCCAGGGCTCAGGCTGCCTTCCCTAGCACAAGCCCACTTGTGCTCTAGACAAAATGCTGGACAAACAGCAGTACAAATGAGATCAAACCTCTTGCACACAGTAAGGCTGCTGAAGAATTAACTCCAGCCTTTTCACTCTTAACTGTATATTTCTCAGTAAAATATATAATATATAGCTCTATAGCACTGATTAGAACATATTACAGGCTAGAAATATTCTCGTCTTTTCCCTACTGCAATCATATTATGAATCCAATTTTGCATACAGATTAATCCTAGAAGTTATTGCCTTGAATTCATAATTAAAATTCACAGAATAAAGCTTAAATAGTTTCACAGAGACTCATTATATTAGTGTTTTACATAAAAAGGATAAAAGTTACCAAATGAGAAGAGCAGCCATTTCAGAAACTATAAATAGTTCTATTAAAAAAAAATAACCAAATTCTAAAAAAGTTATGGGAAAACCATAAATATCTTTACCCTCTACAGTAGCTGCTATAGAACTAGAACAAACCTGTAACACACTGTAAGCTAACTCTGTTTCAGTTCAGAATATGAATCATAAAACAACATCTCTAGAGAAATGCACGGCCAAAGGAAACACAAAGGGATTGAAAAAATAAATCTGAGGAAATTAAAAAAGTATATTTTTTTCTTTTATTATTTCAAAACAGTTTCTACAAACTTTATATAAACATTAGGCTATTTTCTTTAAAATTTTGTTATAAAAAAATCCTACAAGCAATCCTTAGAAAAAGGTAAGAGACTGAAGGCAAGGAAAGGGTGTCATCATAGCCAAACAGAACTGGCTGTCCTGATTTCATGGACTAATGACCCTTGCCTGGGGCCGACAGGAAGAGACAGAAGTCTCCTGGGGAAGACATTCCCATAGGCTCTTTATGGCACTCAGGGATTTTTGAGCCCCTATGGGCCTTTTACTCCCTGATAAGGCAACATTATCTGTAGTGTAAGAGATTCATAAATAGTTCTCCACAAAAATGCTTCACATCAACAGCCTGCTGCAAGACATCTATTAGCAAGGTTTATAAAAAAGCCATCTTCTATAGAAGCAGCCAATCTGAGCACGGCACACTGGATGCAGACACATGGTGTTTGCTTCCATACAGTCCGGTTTGTGTTTATATGCCCTCTATAAAACCAAGCAGAAAATTTGGCATCTTTATTCTTTTCATACTAGCTTTAGGAAAAAAAAAAATATATATATACTGAGGTGTTTTTTTTCAGACTCTTTGTATTTCATTGGGCCCTCGTTAGCTGAGCGAGATGGGAAGGGTCACGTAGGAAGTTTCTTTTTTCTCAAAGTCGCTTTGAAATTCAATCCAAAAAGAGCATTTGTTCAGCACATCTCATCTAAGGGCACAGTGTTTCCATACAGTCTGTTTGTCCCTTGACGGGCACAAGGTGTTGCTGAGCTTTAAGCATAGAACTCATTTGTAGGGGCTTTCTTGTAGATTGGTTTCTTCCCAAGGTCGTAACTGCCTTCGTCCTTTTTCTTCATGCGATAGACTAAGAGGAGGATCAGGAAGACAGCAAACAGGAGGCCCACCGCCCCTCCTGCAATGAGAGCTGGGGAGAAAAGAGAGCATGGGATAAGTCTAAACTCCTGGACAACTCCAAACCATCTGCTACATCTCAAAATCCTCTTTGAGAGTACCAGCCCCCAAGAACTGCCTCCAGAGTCAGTGTTGTCCACACGCCTGTCACCATATGTGCTGGCATTTTCAGCGACAGCAGATGTTATTGGAAAAGGCCAGAAATTGCTTTCAATCCAACCACAGAATAATCACATTCCACATTAACCAGTTTGTGTTAATCTTCCAGTTTAGTGCAAGAAAGAAGTTTTGACAAAAAGACATCCTCCCTGCACAGAGACAAACCAAAACAAACAAAAAAAAGCCCCCAAAAAAACCCCACCACAACCCACAGTGTCAACTCCAGGAAAATGGTATAGCTCCAATTTGAACACTTTGTTAACTACCTGTGTGAGCACACTCTGGGGACTCTGTATTTCAAACAAACAGCAACATCCCACTACTACCACCACCTCCCTCCGAAAAACACCCCAACACCCAAAAACCACAAACCTATAAAAACCCATCAAGATTTTCTCTCTCCTCACACAAAGCGTGGCCACAAGACTACAGTGAAGTTTATCCTTTGCTGTGACACCTACTCATTGCACTAAATCAGCTCCCTTGTTAGGTGGCTTTGTAATCCATCTTCCAGTCACTCCTCTGACTGGGAGGATGGCTGCAGATCAGCAAGATGTGCCGAGGTTTGTACTCGGACCATCAGGCCAAGTGCTTGATGAAGCGTGCCTCAAGACAGACCTGTCCCACATGCTGAGGGGAAGCTAGTCACTTGGTTTTGCTCTAGACAGAGGTATTTAGATCCATAATAGTTGGCTATGTGTTCAGATCCCTTAGAGGGGTTGTTTGGTTCCTGGCAAAGCTCAGAAAAGGTAGGACTTGAGCAGAGGTTAGAAGGAAAATGCCTGCACTTGATATGAAAGTCTGTGATGTCATTGATTTACGGCCAGATAAGCCTCTTGTTGAGGTAGTATCCGGGTGCAGAGCAGATGCCATATGATTTGCGTGGCACTTAAGCCAACAGTCAGCTGGCAGGCTCAAAACCAAGCTGTTTACCCCACCAAGGCAAGCAGTAGGCTCTTCTGCTGTTTAAGGACTAGAAGGCAGAAGTGACCCTGCTGCAGGCAGTCACAGAGG